TATAATATCAAGAATTAAAAATATCTAGAAAAGGTAGCAAAATCTCACCAAAAGGTGATGGAGTCAAAATCGTGACTCGATCGATATGTACAAGCCAGGAAGGTAGGAGAATTTGAGGGAGATGGAGGTAAGGGAAATAAGATAATTTCGATACAGAAATATCTTTATTTTTGGGTTTTGGGCGAAGTGTTTCCCTTAAGGATCTCAATTCTCGAACCCATTTGGGATGAGTTAAAGATTTGGCAAGTCCAAAAGGAGCTGTGGGAAAAGTGGGAAGACGATTTGGGCAATACATTTCAAAAGGGGTTCTACCTAGAGGATTGATTATTTTGTGGTTTGATCGATTAGTGTCTGTTTTATTAGATAAGGAGATAACAGCATCATAATAGGTCGATTCTAATTTCAGGGGGTTGTAACATATTTGATAAAAATTCTCGAATCGAGATATTTGAAGACAGTGAAAGTGTGTACCTTTCTTCGCTTTCGATTTGTCCTGCAATACAAGAGAAGGATGAGCAGTCAATTTTTGTCGGACTTCGTCAAAAGTAGCATGACTACTCGAGAACCAATTGGCCCACCATTGAGAAAAACCCACAGTCGATAAATAATTTGATTCAAAAACATAGGGGTAAAAATGCATCGGGGTTTTTGGCAAAAGCTTGGCAAGCTCCCGTCCGATTGTCGATTCAGTTAATTTGGACCTTGGGAAGGTATCTAGGGGGAAGAAGGGTAAGGATTGGCTCAGACCAAATTGTCTCGAGAAAAGTTGAGGGTAGTAAGTAATGAACTTGAAATCTTTGGATTGGAAACCCGATACTAGTACATCCTGAGTTAAATAGTTACTCCATACATCGACCAACTCTAATTGCAACCCAGGAGTCGAGGCAGGGAATTTCGACTTAAACCAAATTGGCCCCCTAAGTTGGCCACTTATGCATCCAAGATGTGCAACAAAAGGAGCTAGGGTTGAATCGAAATTAAATCTGGTTAACAAAAAATTAAGGTATCTACACCGCTTCATCGGGTTTGTGGTGAGGATGACGAGAAGACAATCGGGCCCCTTCTATATTTACACTTGGGGGGATGGTAGAAGTTGGGGGAAGGATGCTCTCAAAAATCGAATTTAGCCACAACTGTATAAACCAAATAGGGCCAGAAAAATTTCCCGAAGCTTTAGGAGCACTCAAAATTTCGACAGCCTCGTCGAAAGCAGTATATACATGTGCTAGCAAAAATTTGGCCAAACATACTCTAGGTTGGCCTAGATGAAGGAGATATGCAAGGTCAAACAGATGGGAGGAAATTTGGATCGATCGGGGGCAGAAAACATGGGTACACAACCAGTACACCAAAAAGACTATGTGCTCTTCATCGGTCACAACTATTGATTCGTCATCGACGAAATGCTTCTCGAGGAAATGCCCATAAGCTTTCGATTCCCAATCGATTTTGGATCTTAGAGAATTATCCGAGGGACATGCACCCTTAAAATATCTTTCCCCTATGGGTTCTAATCCAGTAATGGCCGTGACTTCAAAAAGGGTGGGCGAGAGGGGACCGCAAGGTAATTCCATGGCATGTATTTCCTTATTCCACAAATGAACGGCAGCCAAAAACATAGTCATGTCTAAATGAGATAAGTCACATTGGGACAGGTGCAAAAAATCGAAAATTCCCACGCTTCTCCAATGATCCCCGAACTTAGCTTTAACCCTATCGAACCATCTAATGTACAAAGGTTTTTTGGAAGGAGGGCCCGTCCGATACACCTTAGAGACAAGATTCAAAAAATCAACCCTAACTTCAAGTTGGTGTACAAGAGCCGGACTATTCGAGAGGTTGAGGGGAGAAAAAGTTCCATCAATAGAACGAAGAGGACCCCCAAAAGCGTAATTAACACCATCAGCAGTGTAAGGAATAAGTACCTACGTTTCAACAGTTTTCCGATAAGCTTCCTCCATCAGAGGAACTGGAGCGAACTTCTGATTGTTAATCTCCAGCAGGTTAGATACCAATGAGGGAAGAGGTGGAGCGGAAAAGTCAGAAGATTTGGAGGAAGTTGCCATTTCAGTAATTGGTGAAGTGAAGAAAAGCAAGGTAAGAGATGAAGGCGCAGGGATGAAGACAAGAGCTCAAGGAAGAAGATGAAGTTGCAAAGGGTAAAAGATTCGCGTAAAAAACCAGAGTAAAAAAAATAAAAAAATAATAGAGTTTAAGGGGGAAGCTACCTAGGGTGCTGGAAACGACGGAAGCAAAGGCAATTAATGTGGCTTGTACTGCAAGGCAGCAGACTGACGAGACGGCGACATAAAGCAAAAAGAAACCCTAAAAACCCAGAAACCCTAAAACCCCAGAAACCCTAAACCCTAAATTGTTGTGGGCCTCCAATGAGCGAAAGCGGGAATCGTGTTGAAAGAATATAAATGGAGACTATTCATATTCTTCCAAGGGGGCATTTTGTTAGTGAGAAATCTATAAAAGGATCGAGAAAGTGAAGGGAAACAAAAACATATCGAGAATTGGAATCGAAAATCGAGGGAATAACGCTTAACGTCCGTTGGTGAAGAAAATCAAGAAAACAAAATCTAGTAACGTTAAGGATATCGAGAATCAAAAGCAAATCCAAAATTCTCGAAGTTGCGAAATCTAAATCGAAGGAAAGGCTAATATACGTGAATATCGAAATTTTGGCTAAGAAGAATGGTCGACGTATACATCGAACATAGTAAGCGGTAGCAAAAGTCGAAGGTCAAGGGAGCAGTTACCTCATGTATGGGAACGTGAAGACAGTTTTTAAACCATGACAGAAGTCGAAGATCGTGGGAACGTGGGTGCAGTTTTGACACCGAAGAAGAAACTGCAACATGCACGTAGGACGTGGTAGCAGTTTTCATTAACTGCTCTTAAGAAGTTACTTGCTTAAAGGATGCTCTATAAATAGGGCGAAGGATGAAAGGAAAAAGGAGCAGAAATTGGCAGAGAACAGAATCATTAGTGAGAAGTCTACCGGAGAAACGACGAACATCATGAAGCTTCTGGCAATCTGGATTTCCACGCTCATTGAGTACCTTTACCATTTTCTGTATTTTCCTTGGTAATTTACTTTGATGCAATTTATCTTTAGCAATTTTATGTTTCTGTGCTTTCAATTTTTGGTCATTTTGATTCAAAGAAAGTTAGATTTCCGCGTTTAAGTTTTTTTGTCGTTTAACATTGATGCGATTTCGATTTCCAAGTTATTTATACTTTCTGCACATTTGGTTTACTGTTATTTATACTTCCTGTTATTTACATTTCTGCTGTTTCGATTCCCTGACTTTTATACTAAAAACAAAATTTAAGATTTCAGCATGTTACGTTTCTTTGCAATCTGATGTTCAGCACTGCTTTTCGATTCCACGAATTTTCTGTTTTCTTTACTTCGAACACTTTAAATATAAAACACCAAAAATAATATCTCTGAAATCGGGCAAAATTCGATCTTCATACACATCTCGATTGAAAATTAATTTGCTAGCCTAATTAAAAAGAACTTACGTGGTAGAATTTTGGTTTGTATCAAAACATCTCTGGGGTTGAAATCAATCGAAATTCTACCAAGATATACATATATATATATATATATATATATATATATATATATATATTGTTAAAATTTCATCCATAAATTTAAACATAATAATAAATCAATCTATATAAATACTAAATAGAAATAATTAATCCAAGATTTATTTCATAACTAACATCTCGGAAAATATTGAATATTACTATATATTTTATCTAAACAATATCTATATAAATAAAATAAAAAATCGAATACTCTTAATTTTATCCTATTTATTACTATTAGTATCTAATCTAGTTTAGATAAAAAAAAGATTTTAAAAGTAATGATTACATAAAATAACAATTTTAAAATATGACTTAATCTTATATTTTCAAATATATGTCTGAATAATTAAATTTGAGAAGATAATTCAATTTATTTTTAAATTTGAATTTTACATCATCAAGATTTTACACAGTGTCTCCTCTAGGTTTGGGCCTAACTGGTCCATAAAACACATCATAAGTTGGTTTCAGTGCAGTTCCGCGAACTTCAAACATGTGCAGTATTTTCAGTACTTATCCAAATGCAACAATTGTGATCTCATTTGAAAGCTTTTTGAGTTAGGTTTAAAACACCACCGTTTATACTATTTAGGAGGTCTAGTGAATTTAGGAGACTTAAATTACTGAAACATGTCTATTGGGTCGGCCTGGTGTGCTTAACCCCTTTTTAATAATTTATGTAAAATCCAATTTAGCAATGTATCTAGTTTATAATGCTTCCAAAATCATGATTTTAGGAGCTCCGTAGAAAAAATGATAAATAAAACAAAAACTTTAATCCTACTGTACAGCTGACATGACATCTGTTCCAATCTTTCAAACTCAAAATTGCTTTAAACGGTTTTGAAAATAATAATAAGCAAAAATTAGATCAAATATATTCAAATCAATTAAAATCTAAATTACTGGTCCAGTAAAACCCAATTAATAAAAATTCACTAATAATAGACAATTAAGCTCAAAACATTAATTAAAATGTACATAAAAAAAAATGAAAATATAATGACTCGTCACTACCCTCTCTTTCTTTTAGATCATGGTCACCGTGGGAACAAGAAGAAAAAGATGGTAGGAATCAATGTTGGTATGACTATTTTTGGATTAATATCATGACATGTAAGTATATAGATATAGTTTAGCTGCTACTACAGACAATTAGGCACAAAAAAGATAAGTGCATATTATGTGGCAATGTTTACATACTGTTGTTCTCTAACCAATTATATGCAGCGATGGAAGATATAGGTTTGCCAGCTTTCAACTTCTAAATCTTAGCTAATGCCACGGAAAACTTTTCAACTGGAAACAAGCTTGGAGAAGGTGGATTTGGACCAGTGTACAAGGCGATAACAAAACTGATATACCAAACTTGTTATCAGGGCACACTGATGGATGGGAGAGTGGTGGCTGTGAAAAGGCTATCGAAGAAATCTGGACAAGGGTTAGATGAATAAAAAATGAAGTGGCATTGATTGCAAGACTTCAACACCGAAATCTTGAAAGCTCCTTGGTTGGTGCATTGAAGCAGAAGAAGAAATGTTGATTAATGAATACATGCCCTAACAAAGCTTGGAGGACTACTTTGTTTTTGGTTGGACTCCTTAATCTATTATGTCACCTACGACAACCTTTTTTTTTTTTTTGTTTATTGAATTCTGAAGTCTGCAACTGCTATGCAGAATTCGTGTGTTTTATAATAGATAAAACAAAAAGGAAGTTGCTTAACTGGTGTAGACGCTTCAACGTTATTAGTGGAATTGCTCGAGGACTATTGTATCTTCATCAAGACTCTAGGTTGAGGATTATACACAGATCGAAAACCAAGCAATATTTTACAAGATGCCAATTTGGATCCAAAAGTATCAGAGTTTGGCTTGGCTCGATCATTTTTGGGAGATCAAGATGGGGCAAACACAAATAGAGTGGCTGGGACTTAGTTTTTTTTTTTTTTTTTTTTTTTTTTTTTCTCAATTTGATTTTTTGATATTGTGCTGCCATGTTTTTTTACTTTGAAAAATTAATACTTCAGTGGTTACATGCCTCCTGAGTTTGCTCCGCGAGGGCATTTTTCCGTGAAATCAGATGTATTGCAGTGGTTGCATAATGAATTCTTTCTGACCTGTTAGTTTTTTGTTATGAACAGAAGATATGGTGCTGGAACTACTTGAGGATGTGTTAGAAGAACAATACACACCTTCTGAAGTTATACGATGCGTACAAGTAGGCCTATTATGCGTGCAACAAAGACCACAAGATAGGCCAGACAGGTCACAGTGGTTTTAATATTGAATGATGATAAATTGTTGCCAAGATGAAATTAATAATTGGTTGAAGAAGTTTCTCTGGTGTTAGAACGTTTGTTATAGGTAGGTAGTTTTTGAATGGTTAGAAAATAATGTTAGTGAGAACCATCGTCATAGAATGTTTTAGATTTTAGGGAGTTAATATTTTGATTTCTAGAGAGTTCATATCCGGAGTTATTGAAAATATTTAAATACATATTTCTATTCTTGTTTTCAGAATGACAAAGAATAATAAAAGTTAAGTTTTTAAGTTTCTGAAAAATTATGTTATCAAATTGGTATCAAGAGTTAAGATTTTTGAGAAGAATTATGGTTATTCAGAAGAGTGAGAGTGAGGGTTTAAGTGTTAGAAAAAGAGTGTAAATGGTTGGTCTAACGAGTGCTATGGCAATTATATCCCGATCGACGAATGACGTTAACTATGATAAATAGAGTGAGGGTTTAAACCCAAATGTTTGAAAGATGGTGGACACTGGCGGATCTTCTTGGGAGCTGAGGGGTCATGATCCTCAAAAGTTTTGTAACTCCCATGTAATTTATGATTTTTGTCCCTCCAAACTTAATGAACATTTAATATATTTACTTGTATATTTACAATTCTATCCTCTCGACCCCGTCCTCGGTTTTGTAACTCTTATATATCTACAATTTTATCCTTTCACCCTTTCATTTTCTTTCTTCCTTTTATATTTATTTATTATTTATTAATAATATATTATTTAGCCCCCTCAAGATCAATGGTTAAGATTCGCCACTGATGGTGGAGGAAGGTTTTGAACAACTAAAGACCACGAAAGAATTGACGATCAATGAACTCAAAGAATTAGAGAAGAAACGTGAGAAAGACAGTACAACTATATTTTTGTTGTTTCGAGCTGTAGAAGATTCTGACTTTGAGAAGATTGTAGGAGCCACATCGGCATTTGATGTATGAGATGGTTGAAGAAGGAGTACAAGAAAGATGACTGAGTCATACGGATTCAATGCCAGCCATTACGAACTGAGATGAAGAGAATGAAGATGAAGGGGTCGGTAAAACTTTCTGAACTTTCTGAATATGTCCTGCATGTTGAAATTGTGGTAAAACAGCTTAATCCGAACAAAGAGGTATTTTTCACAGAAGAGAAAATACTTTATTCTCATAATAACAAAGAACGTAGTGGTCAGTCATGAGGTGGACGAGGTGACGAGAAGAAAGAGGGAACTCAACAAAATTGACGAAGAAGAGGACATGATTCGAGAGAAGGTTGGTTAACGAACTACTCAAATGTTGAGTGTTTTAAGTACGACAAATATGATTACTATGTGAAGGATTGTGAAACAACCATAAGGCTAAGAGGGGAACCATCCCTCAAAAGCTAGCTCAAGAGGTTGGAGAACCTCCTACCTTATAAGGCCTCCCTGGTAAGGAGACCTCCCCAATGTGAGACTTGTTACAATACCACCCCGTTCAAAAGTCAGCGTCCTCGATGACTGCACTCCACGACACTTCACTCACCCTCGAGAAGGGCTACCCACGGAGGGTTCTGACCGCCGGAGGGTTCTAACCACTGGAGGGTTCTGACCGGTAAGAAGGCCGAGTAAAGTGCTAGTGAGTGAAGTGCCGGTGAGTGAAGTGTCGTGGAGTGCAGCCATCGAGGACGCTGGCTTTCGAACGGGGTGGTATTGTAACAAGTCCCACATTGGGGAGGTCTCCTTACCAGGGAGGCCTTATAGGGTAGGAGGTTCTCCAACCTCTTGAGCTAGCTTTTGAGGGATGGTTCCCCTCTTAGCCTTAGAAAATGTTTTAATTATGGAAAGGAGGGATATTTTGAGAGAGAATGTCAAAAGATTCTTTGCTACTGAAGAAAATTCTTTGGTAAAACACAAACTATATTCAGTTAATGAACATTCCTTTACAGTGATAGAAGCAAGATAGGAAATGAAGGCAGGAAGTTACTGATTCACATTCTTATGTAGAATATATCAGTTGTTTTAGCATACATATCTAGTGAAAGTGTTATTATAAGCTCCTGCTTCATTTAGTCAAACAAATGTATGATATATAAGCAAAGAGTTCTACAAAGACAAAAAAATTTGAATAGCACATTGCAATAAAATATGGTTTTGAATCTTGCACATGACATGAAACAATTTAGATCCTTCTCCACTTATTCCATTTTCTACAGTAGACAAGTATGCTTCTCTTTTGATTAGTTCACATACCAACCGTCTGTCACAATCTGATGCCTTTTTGTCAGTAATCTATTTTCTTTTTCTAAAGGATTAAATATTTTATTTTTCATACAATAGGTTAAACTTAGTTTCATTTTGATTTGAAATCTCTTCATGCACACACTAAAACTCCCAGTTTTGGAGTATATTTTTGTCTGTCTTTTAAAATTCTTGTTTGAAAAGAAAATAGCCATAACAACACCCACAAAAATTAGAAACCCTCATATGATTTCTCTCTCGGTAACTAAAGTGAAGGTTACATTCGGTACAGAGTATGAGTTTGAAACAGTGAATAACCTTTTATGCATTGTTCTAACTAATATATGCAGAAGAAGATAATATTTTAAGCAAGAAATCAGTGTTGGGGGATGCATAAAATTTCATGAATCACACCCAAATCATGTGGAATTCTTACCCCCATGTGTGCTTTTCGAAACTGATTTTATAGCATCTTTAAAGCTAATATTTTTGGGTGAAGAGAGATAACTGAAACAGGTTTTACTTGTGTCTCTGAAAATCTATTGCATACAAAAATCAATTGTCACGTTGAAAGATAAGTATTTAATTTATTAATTCTTTTGTGCTTGTATAATATAATTGATGAAGTAATCCAGTTTTTTTAGTCTATAATTTTGGAAACTCATTTAAAGCTTTGGCTGAACATAGAAGCAAGTACTAATTTGTGTATGAGCTTTAAGAAATTTGAATAAACATTGGGTGTTGTAAGAAAGAAGGTCAACCAAAATTTAAATTATTATCTCTTTGTAACTAAATCAGCTTTATGATATTTTACACCATTAGTAATTAGAATCGTCCTCGTGTTTGAATATATTATGTATTCTTTTCAATTTCAATGTAACTATAATTGAAAATGTCAGAGAAAAAAATTATTATTATTATTATTATTATTATTATTATTATTATTATTATTATTATTATAATAATAATGTTTTCAAGGGATTCTATATGAAAAATGGTATTCAAAATATTATTTTCTAGTAATAATAATATTTCTAGATTTTTGTTTCTTAAGAGTCTAATTGTATTCTTTCCTTGAAATTTCAGGTATGATTCATTCAACGTTTCACATATGCAAGGGAACATAAAGTTGAATTCCATAGCGTATGCGGTTTGCTGGGTTAGATTTGGATTGGAGGCAAATAGTCTCGTGAATGTTTCTGAACTTTTTCCAGGCATTCTTGGTGGCAATATTTTTCAACTTGTAGAGTTCTTTTTTCTATGCTAAAAGCCTGTAATAATGGCCCCAGTCGTTGACTTACCTGTCTTCCTACAACAAATGACTTTGTCATGGTATTACTCAATGAAAGTTCTACCATTTTTCCTTCTCATTACTTGTTACGATCAACCTCTTCCACTGCATAATCAAAAGCCATTACATAACGAAAACTAACAATCTATGGCCAAAATATGCCTAACACTGTCATGCATGCTTATGCAATTTAGAAGTCATTGCTTCCCTATTGTCACAATGTTGTGTGTTTGGTTTTTATTGTTCATGTGCATGTGGGGAACATGCACATCACTGGATACTTTGAAACTGAATCAAACCATCCGAGATTGCGAGAACGAGACTTTGGTTTCAGCTGGTGGAACTATTGAACTGGGTTTCTTGAGCCTGGGAAAATCATCACGAAGATACTTAGCTATATGGTATAGAAATGTATCCCCTTCAACAGTGGTGTGGGTTGCTAATCGAAATACACCTCTTGATAATAAATCAGGTGTTCTCAAGCTCAATGACAAAGGAGTTCTCGTGCTAATCAGTGGCGCACACAGCACTATTTGGTCATCCAACATATCAGGCAAAGCAGTGAATGATCCAATTGCTCAGCTCTTGGATTCGGGAAATTTTGTAGTCAAATTTGGACAAGGTACCAGCAAGGAGAGTAGTATCTTGTGGCAGAGTTTTGATGAAATTGGTGATACAATTTTGCCTGGAATGAAGCTTGGATGGAACTTAGAAACTGGTGTAGAAAGATATATATCATCTTGGAAAGGTGTTGACAATCCCGCTGAGGGAGAATATAGTCTAAAAATTGACAGTAGAGGTTATCCTCAAGCAATTATATTCGAGGGATCAAAGATAAAGTACAGACTTGGGCCATGGAATGGCGAGTCATGGGCAGGGTATCCTGTTAAAATTCCTCAAAGTTCGGAAATATTTGTATTCAATAAAACAGACTTGTATTATGAGTTCAAGCTTCTTGGTAGTTCGGACTTGATCAGCATAGTTAAACTAACCCCATCTGGCATTGGAAACAGAATTTTTTGGACAACTGATACCACCAGCCAGAGAAGTCTCTTGCTTCAGGAGAGAGATCAATGCGAGAATTATGCATTCTGTGGTGCAAATTCTATATGCAATTATGATGGTAACCATCCAACTTGTGAATGCGTGAGAGGTTATGTTCCAAAGTCTCCTGATCAGTGGAATACATCAATTTGGCACAGCGGTTGTGTTCCAAGGAATAAATCTAATTGCAAAACCAGTTATACAGATGGCTTCTTACCGTACTCACACATGAAATTGCCAGACACATCTTCTTCGTGGTATGATACAAACGTGAACCTCGATGAATGTCGGAAGTTATGTCTTAAAAAATGTTCATGCATTGCATATGCAAATTTAAATAGTCGTGAAGGAAGTGGCTGCCTACATTGGTTCAATACCCTAGTTGACTTGAGGAGTTTCTCTCAATTGGGGCAAGACATTTACATCAGAGTCCCTGCCTCAGAATTAGGTACCCCATCAATTATTTATTCTGATTTTAATTTTTTTTTCCTTTCTTTTCACATTTGATTTCTTGCTATGTATAGCATTATTATAAGAGAAAAGGGTGGAGTACGGTAAGATCATAAGAACATTCAAAGATGAGGTGATAAAACATTCTATTATTGTTCCTTGAATTGCCATACTCTAGTGGGTTGCAGGATTTTGCTAAATATTGTAAAAAAGTTATGAGTAATGAAAATTATTTCTTATGCGATACATGTAAAGAAGTTTAAAGAAACTAGACTTACTTTCTAAGCTTCAATCAATAAAGCTGTTAATTTCGAATCATGTGACTTGTCATGTTCTGTTTCTTTCAGATCACGGTAGCCATGGAAACATGAAGAATAAGATAGTAGGAATCACTGTAGGTGTGACTACTTTTGGATTAATCATTGCATGTGTCTGCATACTGATAATAAAAAATTCGGGTAAGGAACATATAATTTAGCATCAACCATTTGCAGTTAGACACGGAAAGTAGGTAACCATCATGTGCTTCTTTATTCTTGGTTTTGCAGCATCTGTTTTAAAAACCATTTCAAAATTCTGGTCCATCTTAACAAACTTGAATATGCAGTTAATTCATAGCCAGTATATAGACTCCTAGAAATAGGGCAATAAACAAATAAAAGGCAGTAGTCGTATTGATTAATTTTTGGTATTGTCAACCTGCATATTTCAGTGGCGGCGAGAGTATATTGTCAAATGGCACAACCTCAATGGCGACAAGAATACTTTAGATTGAGGAAAGAAGACATGGATTTGCCAATATTTGAGCTGTCTGTCATTGCTAAAGCCACTAATAATTTTTCCAGCAGAAATAAAATAGGGGAAGGTGGATTTGGACCAGTGTATAAGGTATTATGGCCATATCTAGTATGCCACCTTTATTTTGTGAACATTTCTTAAGTACTCCAAATTACGCTTTTCAGGGTACACTGCTAGATGGGCAAGAGGTGGCAGTAAAACGGAACTCAAAGATGTCTGATCAAGGGCTGGACGAGTTTAAAAATGAAGTTGTTTTGATTGCAAAACTTCAACACCGTAATCTTGTGAAACTTTTAGGTTGCTGCATTCAAGGAGAGGAAAAATTGTTGATCTATGAATACATGCCTAACAAGAGCTTAGACTACTTCATCTTTGGTTAGTGCTTTTCATGTCTAACTTTATATTTAAAAAGTTTATGGCTATCTTTACGTGATTACGATTAAATCCTGTTTATAATGTCAGTGCTGTACTAAACATGTAAGTGAAATTAAACTAGATGAAGCTAGAAGCAAGCTCTTAGCATGGCATCAACGTTTTCACATTATTTGTGGCATTGCTCGAGGGATTCTCTATCTTCATCAAGACTCAAGCTTAAGAATTATTCATAGAGATTTGAAAACCAGCAATATTCTATTAGATGCCTTCATGAATCCTAAAATCTCAGACTTTGGCATGGCTAGGACTTTCGGCAGTGATCAAATTGAAGACAAAACCAGAAAAGTGGTTGGAACATAGTAAGTTGCCTTCTATTTGTACTTATTGTATATCTGTGATTCGTTTTCATGACTTGTGTTGAAAATTATACCTGTAGCGGTTACATGCCTCCAGAGTACGCTGTTCATGGTCATTACTCATTGAAATCAGATGTTTTTGGTTTCGGTGTGATTGTACTAGAGATAGTTTGTGGAAACAAGAACAGGGGATACTCTGACCCAGAACACTCTCTTAATCTTCTTGGACATGTAAGCGCAATTACTATCCACTTTACTACAAAAAGTTGAATCGTCACATCAAAATAGATTCAAAGTACGTTTCTTCTAATGAATTTCCTTGGGTTTAGGCATGGAGACTTTGGACTGAAGATAGGCCATTGGAACTGATAGATAAACACTTACATGAAACATGCATTCCTTTTGAAGTCTTAAGATGCATACACGTGGGTCTGTTATGCGTACAGCAAAAACCAGAAGATAGGCCAGACATGTCTTTTGTCATTCCTATGCTGAACGGTTTGAAATTTATGCCTCAGCCGAAAGCTCCTGCATTTTATTCAGGAATGTATACTCCTGAATCAGTATCATCATGCAGAATACGGAATCTTTTGTCACGAAATGAAATGTCCCTTACAATTTTTGAGGCAAGATAGAACATGAAGAGTCAAGCTATACTCATGGAAAAGGCATTGTTAGAATAATTAAGATCCAAGTAAGTTATCTCTATTCTTAGAAAGAATCAGTCTCTAATTGTTGATTAGGATACATCCCTGTTGCAGAAGATAAAAGAAGATTGAGTACAAAAGAACCTACTATAGCATTTTCATATTTGTCAACTGAACTATTTCTTCATTCTATAAATTGGAAATAATTGTATCTTGTTTGTATACCATTGGTCATTGTAATGCAGTTTTCTGCTTTTGAAGTTTCTGTGGCATCCATATTGATAAATAATCTGCTCTTCTCTTTTGTTATAAAATGTATTTCCTATTTATCTTTCTTGTTTTTTCATGAATTTGTCTCCATGGACATTGAAAGAGAACTGCTTGTTGGTGCATTTTCCCACTGGAATTTGTAACCAAAAGTATTAGATTTTTGGGTTTAATCGATTAGTTTTTGGGAGATGAAGTTGAATCAAACGCGGATTGGTGACTGGAACATAGTTAATTTTATATAAAAAAATTACTCCATTATTAAGATTAGAATCTGAACTACCTAGTTAAGAGATATAAACCATTATCAGTTATTTCAATGTTTAATTGAAATAAACGACGATTTAACTGAGAAAAATGGAACTGGCGTGTGATCGAATCCATTAATGATAAAACAATAAAATGAAATTAATCATAGATATGATTAAGGGGAAGAAAAAGAGGATGATAAAAAGTAAAATGTTAAAATACAAATATTACTTATATTTGAATAATTTTTATCTGTTACAAATATTATTTTATTTGTTATTTTTATACTTAAATTTAACACTTGTTTATAATTTTTACATAAAACAAAGTTTAATGTCATTTTATATCTAAATTTTATATTTAGGTTGATTAAAGGATCAAAGTTATATTTCTTTTTAATTCAAGGATTGATTTATTAATTTTAAAATTATAAGAACCGAAATCAATTTAAAAAAAAACATATTTAACATGTTGAATATATAGGAAATAAGGTTTGAGATTAATTTCCCTTGTGTATAAACCACACATGGAGTAATCTATTTATAATAGAGAGAGGTACAACTAAAAGAGTAACCGAAAGTAAATAGAATAAACAGAAGATATTGTTTGATAATATCTAACAATATTTTAACAATATCAAATAATATCTAAACAATATCTAATACTCTTCCTCAAACTGGAGCATACAAATCGTATGTGTCAAACTTATTACAAATATAATCAATTTTAGGCCCCCGTAAAGACTTAGTAAAAATATCTGCTAACTGATCATTTAAGTTAACAAACTCAGTCTTGATGTCTCTAAACATAATCTTTTCCCGAATAAAATGACAGTCAATCTCAATGTGTTTGGTCCTCTCATGAAAGACAGGATTAGAGCTAATATGAAGAGCAACCTGATTGTCACACACAAGTGTCATTTGAGTGACATCTCTAAATTGTAACTCTCTAAGAAATTGTTTGAGCCAAACAAGTTCACAGGTAGTTGAGGGCATAGCTCTATATTCTACTTCTGCACTGAATCTTACCATAATACTTTGTTTCTTACTTTTCCATGAGATCAGGTTATACCACCAATGGAGACACAATATCCAGATGTAGATCTTCTATCCGAAGGAGATATTGCCCAATCAGCATCTGAGTAGCAAACAACTCTTGTATAGTTATTAGAACCATATAACAATCATTTTCCAAGAGATCCTTTAATATACTTCAAGATACAAATGATTGTATTCCAATGATTTTCACATGGTGAATTAAGAAATTGGCTTACCACACTAACTGCAAAGGAAATGTCAGGACGAGTAACTGTAAGATAATTTAATTTTCCAACCAATCTTCTATACTGCTCAGGATCAAATATGGGCTTCCCCTGATTTGGTAGAAGTTTAGTATTGGGATCCATGGGTGTATCAATAGACACTACAACAAAAACATCAAATAGTGACCGAATTTTCGATCACTAAATGATCAAAATCGGTCACTAACTAAAATAGTGACCGAAATAGTAACCAACCCAAATCGGTCACTAACAAAAACATTAAAAAATTAAAAATATTTTTTTATAACTCTCTAATCTCCCTTTTATAATATATTTTTATTATTTATTATATTTTTTAGAAATTTGAATTATTATTAGATTGAAATCCAGTACCTTAGAGTTAGAGACCGATACTCCAACCACTTAGCTACTAGGAATTTTTGATAATAGTTTATAAATAAATGATATTTATATACAAATAAAAATATATATCCTTGTAAATATATAAATATAAAATATATAAAAACAAATACAAATATATATATATATATGTTGGATGTGGGGACGCTGCTCGAGAGTGAAAGTGTGTCGAGTAGATTTTTAAAATTTGATGTCAAATTTGTGAGCGGGTCTCTTTATATGAGTTTATAATTTAATTACACAATATAATCTTTATAATTTATTTATATAATGATATAAAATAATTTTTTTCTTTATTTATTTATATTTTATTTTATTTTATTCTTCTTATATTTTTTTCTTCTATTATTTAATTAAAATTCTTATATTAAAATAGTTTTTTCAATATTAAAAATAATTAAATATTTATTTTTAAAATTATTTAATTTAACAAATTATTATAAATTAATCTAATTATGATTATTAATGGAACAATTTTTTCCTAATATATATTATTATAAATTAATCAAAATCATCTTTTAATAATTATTTTTTCCAGAAATAGATTAATTCATAATAATTTGTTAAATTAAATAATTTTAAAAAATAATTTTAAAAATAAATATTTAATTATTTTTAATAATGAAAACTTATTTTAATATAAGAATTTTAATCAAAATAATAGAAGAAGAAAAAAGATAAAAAGAATAAATTAAAATAAAATAAAAATAAATAAAGAAAACAATTATTTTATATCATTATATAAATAAATTATAAAGATTATATTCTATCATTAAATTACAAATCCATATAAAGAGACTCGCTCACAAATTTGACATCAAATTTTGAAAACTCACTCGACACACACTTTCACCCTCTAGCGTGATCCTCACATCGAACCTATAAATATATAAATATATCAAAATATATAAATATATTTGTATTTATATATTTTATATTTATATATTTATACTGAATATATATTTATTTGTATATAAATATTATTTATTTGTAAATTTTTATTAAAAAAATCTAACAGTTTAGTAGTTAGAGTATTAATATCTAACTCTAAGGTACTGATTTTGAATCTTATTAGTAATAATTTTCTTAATCTGATTTAAAAAAATTGTTAACAAGAGAAATTATATATTTTTGTGGAAATTAGAGCAATTAAATTGTTGTTATGGACTAAAACCCAAAAAGTAAAAAATAAAAAATATAATTAAATAAAAGAAAAACTATATACTTTTGCATTTTTATTTTTAAATATTAGTTTTTTTATGAAATTATTTTTAATTAAAATAATTAAAGTGATATATATATATATATATATATATATATATATATAACTTTTTTTATTTTTTTTATTTTAATTTATTAATATTATCAAATTTTATCTTCATGATTAAAAAAATACCAATAATTTAAATTTTATTAATTCTATAATTTTATATAATTATTATTATAAATTTAATTCTCCAATAACTAATAATATTAACACATTTATTAAATTAAAATTCTTTATTTTAATTAATTATTTTTATTTTTTTAACAATTTTTTTTAAATAAAAACGATAAAACTTAAAATTAATTTCTAACTAAATCTTCACATATTTATGGTTAATAGTATATTATATTATTATGTTTAATTAAATTTTAAAATAAGTTCACTTAATCTTTACACTTTTATAAAAATACTAATATAAACTTAAAATATTTATCCAATTACTAAATTATTTAAAATATTAATATAAAATTGAAATATCAATTCAATAATTAAAATAATTTTAATTTTTTATAAATACATTGAAATACATTTTTATTAA